TCCTTCCTTCCTTCCTTCCTTCCTTCCTTCCTTCCTTCCTTCCTTCCCACTTAGATATATATACTGCTTCATAGTGCTTTACAGCGCTTTCTAAATGGTTTACAGCCTATTGCCCCCAACAACCTGGGTCCTCATTTTACTGACCTCAGAAAGATGGAAGGCTGAGTCAGCCCTGAGCTGGCTGAACTGGCAACCTTGAACTGGCAAACTGTGAAACTGCTGGCAGCCTGAGGTCTGGATTCTAACCACATTCTAACCAAACCGCACTAATGATTGTTATTATTAAAAATCCCATGAAAGAAGAGACTATAATGTTTGCTACAGTAAGGGAACCATTGCAAATCCTCTGGAACCCGAAGATTTGATAGGCATAGGTTCTTTGTCATAGGAAGATCTACAATGGAAAGAGGTGCCCCAGGTTTGTTCTACCTGTCTGATTAGAAATGGTTTCTTCTGGACATGGGTCACACTGATAACAGCAAACTTGCTCAGCCTCTGTAACTCTTCTTCTCTCTCCTGCCTGACATCTCTTCATGCCACACCTGGCAAAGGGCACCTTCTAAAAGAGAAATGCTTGGGATGACCTAAGTAATTAACATACTTCATTTATTTACTTTTGCATTTCTATTTTCATGTTCAGAATATCTCAAAAGAAATGGTTCAGCATGGTCAGGAACTGGGGGGGGGGGTCCATATTAGGGACATTCCTGAACTTCCAAGGGATTATAGAGATTGGAACTCTGACCTCAAAATACAAAAGCAGGTTTGAAATATTGATCCACAGCTTTTCTAGAACAAAGAATCATGAGGACCCAGGGCCAGGATTCCAATCAAACTCCCCATTTTCATTCAGTACTCAGAAACAAAGTTCATCCAAGTAAGAATGTATTAAAGGAGTCATGTTGGCACATCTGGGAAAACCCAGATCTGAGAGTTCTGGTTTTTCCCTTCCCAATAAAAATTCAAAATCCATCCCCTGCACCCACCAGTCTATCATATGGCCCAATCAAGCATCATCCCAACAGGAGACATTCCTCCAGACACTCCTCTCCAGGTGCAGGGAAACATGTCCTTTATAAGAAAAATATTGTTGAGTGTAATCTTCCTCCTGTCTATGAAATCCCCCCTCCCACATTCCGAGGCACTAAATGTGGCAGCCTTGAAATGTCTAAGTAAAATATGGCTGACACCCAACTGAACAGGAAGAGTCCATAGATTACTAATTACTATTGCCTGCTCTTAATGGTATCTTAGATTTTAAGCAGAACTTCTTCCCAATCCCAGCTCATCGTGGATTTGATTCTAATTTTTATGTATACAGTAACTCTTTTAATATAGTAACAGAATTGGAAGGGACCATGGAGGTCTTGTAATCCAACCCACTGCTCAAGCAGGAGACCCTATAGTATTTCAGACAAATGGCTAGTCTCTTTTTAAAAGCCTCCAGTGATGAAGCACCCATAAGAAAGCCATTCCACTGGCTTAATTCTCATTCCTTTTTATATTTGTCATTTTGTTATTTTTATGCTGTCCACAGTTGCCTCATAGATGACATTGGTGACATAAAATATATAAATTAAAATATATAAAATATATTAAAATATATAAATTATATAAAATATAATTTTTATATCTGCCACAAATAAGACCTCAACTGTGTTACATTCAAAGCAGGTATCAGGATTCTGGCAGTTACTCCAATTAAATCATGAGCCTCCAGCCACACTCCCAAAACTAAAAAAGATTTATTTGAAGGTAACATTCTATGACTGGCATTTACCTGGTTGAAGCCCACTCTCTATGAAATTCACTGTCACCCTTGATCCTGCTTTCCCCACCACCCCTCTGGGTGTAGCATCCAATGAAAAATGCCCATAGCCAAGAGTAATCAATCATGCTCTCCAATTAGATTTTTGCATGGCAGAAGCTTCTGTCATCTAATCGGGGTTTGAAGAAAATATGAATGGAATGTACTTTCGATTCCACACTTCCACCTGCTCTTTGAGACTTCCCCCCCTTCTTTCTGTTGTCAACTATAAAATGTGTGTACAAAATGTTTTATGAGTTGACAGCAGGTTTTTCATGAAACATTGGCTATGTTTTCTCATTCAGTAGACCTGATCTCTAGTTAGAAGGATATTGGACATCCTGAGGAAAGGAGAAAATAGTATAGTATAGTATAGTATAGTATAGTATAGTGGAGTGGAGTGGAGTGGAGAGGAGAGGAGAGGAGAGGGGAAGGGAAGGGAAGGGAAGGGAAGAGAAGAGAAGAGAAGAGAAGAGAAGAGAAGAGAAGAGAAGAGAAGAGAAGAGAAGAGAAGAGAATAACAGAGTTGGAAGGGGCCTTGGAGATCTTCTAGTCTAACCCCCTACTTAGGCAGGAAACTCTATAGCATTTCAGACAAATGGTTATCCAACCTCCTCTTTAAAACTTCCAGTGTTGAGAATGAATGAGTCTGTCTCTCAATTTGCAAGATTTCCTTCCAGCTCACCTCTGTGGCCCAGATGATTGCATTGGAATTAATAGTGAAATCCTGGCCTTGGGGAGCCCTGGGATTTATCTGTCCAATTTTCACAGGGATAAAAGATTCATTAGGAAAGAAAATCCAGTTAAGAAGATCATAAAGGGGCAATCCCAGTTCATTTTCTGAGAAGGAGATTTCATCTGCAGCATTGTTGTTGAATTGGACATTCCTCAAATATGGAAGAAGCTGAAAGAAAAGAAGCCTTCAGAAACTAGAATACTTGACTTAGACACTACAAATTCTATCATTCTATGATGGCTGTTATCTTAGGAGATGCATGTATATCTAAGAAGCTAGAATAATTTCCTTGGT